CCGGAAGTGGTGCTGTGGCTTAAGCAGTAGAGCGCTCGCCTTGAGCTGAAGAGTGCAAGGACAGCGCCCAAGCCCAGAGTTCAAGCCCCACGACCGACCAAAAAAAAAAAAAGATTGCCTGTAACTGGCTGTATACTGGCCTTATGCCTTGGCCAAGTATTTTGATTATAGGTATGTATTACTCTTCCTTTTTTCCGTCCCTTTTCCTTTTCCCTTTCTTTTCATCCCTTTTTTCTTTTCCCTTTCTGTTTCTTTTCATTCTTCTGTTTTCTTTTCCTTCCCCCACTTCATAAATCCTAGTATTGTTTCTGTTGCAACAATAGTGGTTTTATTAATTTTGGTTTGCAGTGATATCTTCAAGGACAGTTGCAGAGAGAGTGGGTGGGAGTGTCCTTTACATTATCAAAAGTATTGTAGCTTTGGTTCCCTCCACCCCCCAGTCTTGGGGCTTGAACTCTGCCTGGGCACTGTCCCTGAGCCTTATCATCCAAAGGCTAGCTCTCTCCCACTTTGAGCCATAGTGCCACTTCTGTTTTTTTTGGGTGTTAATGGAGATGAGAGTGTTAAAGGCTTTCCTGTTTGGTCTTGCTTTGGACCACAGTCCTCAGATCTCAGCCCCCTGAGTAGCTAGGATTATAGACGTAATCCACCTGCACCCTGCTTTGTAGCTTTGCTTTTCCTGAACCATCAACTATTACTCTCTGACTTTTTTCCTTTGTTGGCAAGAGGGCTTAGTGAAAAAACTGGCTCATCATAATCACTTTTAATATTTAATGTTATAACATCTGTTTATCTTCAAGGGAAGGCAAAGTGGTTTCTTCTCATCTGCTTACACAAACTTGAAATGATAGCAGCATTGAAGACTTCCTAAAGCCAAACAAAAATACTGTGGCTTTTTAAAAGGACTAGTGAAAAGAATTCAACATATATATTTGAATTATAGTTATAGCCTAAAGTTTATAGCAAAAGTTTAATGTTGAGTTAGATTTTTTGAAAGTTATTCCAGGCCAAACTGTAGTAGTGGCTGAATGTGGCATAGGCAGAGATGACCATGTGCACCATTGCTCTGAGTGAAGGTAGGCTGATCTTTGGGCCTGATTACCTCACTGCACCTCAAGGACCCCAGGCTTCCCGTGTGGGCCTCAGTGCCTGCTCTGCTTCATGCTTCCTTTTGCAAACACTTGATTGTAGAAATCTAAACCTTGTGAAGCTTTACTGTTTCCTTACTCCTTTCTTTTCTTTTAGTGTTTCCAACCATGTTTTGCTGTTTTGTGCATATAGTTGTTCAGTAAATGAAGGGTTTTGGCTTTTCTTGTTTTTGTGGGTCGTGGCCTGAACTCTGGGCCTGGGTGCTGTCCCTCAGCTCAAGACTAGCTCTCTACCACTGAGCCACAGCGCCACTTCCAGCTTTTTCTGTTTATGTGATGCTGAGGAATCGAACTCAGGGCCTCATGCATGCGAGGCAAGCACTCTACCACAGAGCCACCTTCTCAGCCCCTGGATTTTCTTTGTTCTGGGATTACATTCAGGCCCTTGTGCATGCTAAGCATGCATTTTTCTTAATTACATTTTCAACCCTATAAGCATACTTTTTTTTTTTTTTTTTGGTCCAGGGGCTTGAATTCTGGGCCTGGCCCCTGTCCCTAAGCTCCTCAGCTCAAAGCAAGCTCACTCTATCTCTTGAGCCACAGTGCCACTTCTGGTTTTCTGGTGGCTGATTGGAGATAGGAGTCTGCCAGACTTTCCTGCCCTGGCTGGCTTTGAACCACAATCCTCAAATCTCAGCCTCCTGCGTAGCTAGGATTACAGGCGTGAGCCACTGGTGCCTGGCTTAAGCATACCTTTTTTTTGTTGTTGTTTTTTGTCGGTAGTGGGGCTTGAACCCTGGGCCTGGTTAAGCATACATTTTAATTTAGCATTTTTTATTTTGTTTTTTGAGACAGTTTTCATTATAAGGCTCTGGCTTAAACTTGCCACAGTCCTGCCTCTGCCTCCTGAGTGTAGGGATTACAGAAATGTGCTACCGCATCTGGCTAATCATAGTATTTAAAATTTTTTAAATTGTTATAATGAGGATGATGTACATAGGGGCTATGTTACATAATTTTTTATATATATATATATATATATATATATATATATGTTACATAATTATAGGTTTTAAATAGACTTACATAAAATCTTTAGTTGACATTTAGGAAAATAAATTTCACCTTTTTGTCTTTTGTGAAATTTCATTTATGTTTTATAGTGGGGTTCCAGCGTGTTTCTGTGTTACAAGAAGTCTGTGCCTGCTTCAAATGCATTAGCATATAAAGCTGGTAAGTGAATTAAAGATTTGTCTCTTTACTGTAGATAGTAGTCCATATAAATTGGCCTCAGAGAGGCAAAATGTGTTCCATTATGCCATTTATGTAAGTACCTATTCATAAAATTGAACTGTGTAATGTAGGACAAGTTTTCTTAAATGTATTATCTGCTACAAGTTATACTAATATTTCCTCTTCCCCAGTACAGTATTAGTTAAATTTAAACTTTTACCCAAAGCAGCTTATGTGGAATAGACATTCAAGTTTTTGGTCTACACTTACAGATTTAACAATGTAATGAAAAAATACTTATTCTCTGACCTTTTATATTTTGGAAATCAGAAAGATTTCAAACTGCTTCTTTACTTCTTGTATATTTCCTTCTCTTATCTTTGTGTGTCTGATTTGAAACATATGCTGCTTGCCATGAAAGGTGGACTTGCTTCCTTTCTCCCTTGTTGCAAAGAATCAGCTATATGAAGGAGAGGAGGCCTGAGAAGCTTCTCTGCCATGAAGGTTTTGAGAATTCTATCGCCACATTCTTACCGCACAATAGAGTGTCAAGGGCTGTAAAGATTTAAGTGTGACCTCTTCATCCCACTGGTATGGTGGGGTAAATCTGAAAATGCAGGTATGCTCCAGTTGCAAATAGAAGAGATACTGGAATACTTTTTTGGGAAATGAAGCAGTGCCAATTACTTTTTAATTATGCACAGTTTTTGAAATGAAGGAAAGTCAGGAAAACCCATATTTGAAAACTTTTGTCTTCATAGAAATATTTTTTGCTAATTATTTAATTCATAATACAAAAATAACGACAAAGGGCTGGGAAGGTGGCTCAGTGGTAGAGCGCTTGCCTTGCATGCATGAGGCCCTGGGTTCGATTCCTCAGTACCACATAAACAGAAAAAGCTGGAAGTGGCACTGTGGCTCAAGTGGTAGAGTGCTTGCCTTGAGCTGAAGAGCTGAGGGACAGCGCCTAGGCCCAGAGTTCAGGACCATGACCAGAAAAAAAAAATAACGACAAAGACTAATGATAAAAATTTAGGGTCATAGCTGGGCGCTGGTGGCTCACGCCTGTAATCCTAGCTACTCAAGAGGCTGAGATCTGAGGATCGCAGTTAAAAGCCAGCCCGGGCAGGAAAGTTCATGAGACTCTTATCTCCAATAAACTGCTAGAAAACCGGAAGTGGTGCTGTGGCTCAAGTGGTAGAGCGTTCACCTTGAGCTGAAGAGCACAAGGACAGCGCCCATGCCCAGAGTTCAAGCCCCACGACAAAAAAAAAAAATTAGGGTCATTTTAGAGTATGATGCTGTTAATACGGCTGTAATATATCAGTTGTACATGATTCCCTAAGGTTTTGGGGGAAGGGAATTGGAGGAGAGATATCACTTAAACAGAATTTGCAAAGAGAAGCTTTATAAAAGTATTTATGCACTTGGTAGGAGACAATTTATTTTATTTTATTTTTTTTTTTGGGTCCGGTCATGGGGCCTGAACTCTGGGCCTGGGCGCTGTCCCTCAGCTCTTCAGCTCAAGGCTAGCATTCTACCACTTGAGCTACAGCATCACTTCCGGTTTTCTAGTGGTTTATTGGAGATAGGTTTTCTAGTGGTTTATTGGAGATAGGAGTCTCACGGTCTCTCCTGCCCGGGCTGGCTTTGAACCGCGATTCTCAGATCTCAGCCTTCTGAGTAGCTAGGATTACAGGCGTGAGCCACTGGCGCCCGGCTTTCTTTGTTACTATTAAGGTCATATACAGAGGAGATAGCATTTCATAAGTCAGGTAATGAGTACATTTCTTTTTGTGCAATGGCATCCTGTCCTCTCTCTTTCCCAGTTTTTCCCTCTGGTCCTGCCCACAAGCTCATTTTCACCCTAGTGTTTTGAGTCCTGAATTCTGGGCCTGGGCACTGTTCCTGAGCTCCTTTGGCTCAAGGCTAACACTCTACCACTTGAGCTATAGCACACACTTCCAGCTTTTTCTGTGATTAGAGATCAGAGTCTCAGGCTGTTCTGCATGGGCTGGCTTTGAACCTTTGTCCTCAGAGCTCAGGTTCCTGAGTTGCTAGGATTACAGGCATGAGCCATAGGCACCTGGCCTTTGTCTTTTTTTTTTTTTTTTCTTAGTTGTGGGCTTGAACTGAGGGCCTGGGTACTGTCCCTGAACCTCTTAGTGCTCAAGGCTAGTGCTCTACCACTTGAGCCATAGCACCACTTCTGGTTTTTGAGTGGTTAATTGGAGATAAGAATCTCACAGAGACTTTTCTACACAGGCTGACTTCAACCTGTGATTCTCAGATCAGCCTCCTGAGTGGGTAGTATTGCAGGCATGAGCCACTGGTGCTCAGCTCTTTGTCTTTTTTTTTTTAAAGAAGACTACTATCCTTGCCTGGAACTGGTAGCTCATGCCTATGATCCTAGCTACTCTGGAGGCTGAGATCTGAAGATCTTGGTTTGAAGTCACCCAGACAGAAAAGACCCTGTGAGACTCTTAATCTCTAATCAGCCACCAGAAATGGAGCTGTGGCTCAAAGTGGTTAGAGTGCTAGCCTTGAGCAAAAGAGCTTAGGGACAGCACCCAGGCCCTTAATTCAAGTTGACAAAAAAGAAAAAAAATCCTTAAATTGAAAAGAAAACCATCCTTAACATGAACCTGTCCTTCTTTTTGTCTCCTCCCTTCAATGCAGAGTTTTATATGATGGGAAAGAAAGGCTTATTTCAGGATGTGAAGTGATCCTCGCCACTCCCTATGGTCGCTGTGCCAATGTCAACAACAGCTCTACTTCCTCACAGAGAATCTTTATCACTTACCGAAGGGCTCCTCCAGTTCGACCCCAGAACTCCTTGGCTGTAACTGATATTTGTGTCATTATAACCAGCAAAGGAGAAACCCCTCCTCATACCTTCTGCAAAGTTGACAAAAATCTTAATTGTGGCATGGTAAGAAGAAAATTGTTTCATTTTCAAAGTTTTCTTTTGAAAAACCAAAAGGGATACTTTTGAATTCCTGTTTACAGGAAGGCACATAATTCTCATTTTTTTTTTGTCGGTCATGGGGCTTGAACTCTGGGCCTGGGTGCTGTCCCTCAGCTCTTCAGCTCAAGGCGAGTGCTCTACCACTTGAGCTACAGCGCCACTTCTGGCTTTTTTCCTTTTTGCTTATGTGGTGCTGAGGAATTGAACCCAGGGCCTCAGGCATGCAAGGCAAGCACTCTACCACTGAGCCACCTTCCCAGCCCCTGGTAGGAGACAATTTATATACAGACTTTTGGAGACTTAATTTGAACTCTGAATTCTACCACTTGGACTTGGAAGTTTTTAACTTGGGAGTGGTCCTTGTATTGGTGACATTTGAGTTGATGAGTTGATGTGTGGCTGCTTTGATCAGAAGGGGCTTGTTTATTACTGTTTTTAGAGTGCTTTCTGCTCCTGCCTCCCTGGTCTCCATCTCCAGTTTCCTTTCATTTGTTTTATGTTGCATGTTTCTCATATATTGCTTTTATCTCAATACAGGTATAGAGGTGCTACAATTTCTCTTGCCTTGGCATTTTTTTCATTAGTACACATTCCTCCATTTTTTTCCCCAAAGACTAACTGAAATAGTTGATAAATTATGTGTATATTCTTAGCCATTCTTCACAGGGTGTTGGCATGTATAGAAAAAAGTACACTTAAGATTGGTAATCAGGATTGATTAACTAGAGAATATTGATTTGCATTTTTGTTATATTTCCTTTGAGATAAGCCCATGGGCAATATATAAAAAAGTAAGTTTATTTATTTCTGCTATAGTCAGAGGAAAAAATGGGTTTTGAAAGTTTACACAAATGTTTCCAAGAAAATTGTTAATACAATATCCCCTGCCAATATAACTTATGAAAAAGTGACTTTTAAGGGAAAAGTTGTCACTGTCTTTTTTCTCTAAAAGGTTTAATATTTAGGTATCCAGAAGATGACTATGAGTCCTTCCCACTCCCTGAATCTGTGCCTCTCTTCTGCCTTCCTATGGGAGCCACTATTGAATGTTGGGATCCCCAAACCAAACATCCACTTCCAGTTTTTTCAACTTTTGTCCTGACGGGTTCTTCAGCTGAAAAGGTACATCTTTGCCTTAGTGACTAAACCTATTTTGTCCATGTTTTCATCCTATAATGTGATTTATTTCATATAATATTTATTCAAATCTTATAAGTAGGGCTGGGAATGTGGCTTAGTGATAGAGTGATTGCCTTGCATGCATGAAGCCCTGGGTTCGATTCCTCAGGACCAATAAACAGAAAAAGCTGGAAGTGGCACTGTAGCTCAAGTGGCAGAGTGCTAGCCTTGAGCAAAAGAAGCTCAGGGACAGTGCCTGAGTTCAAGCTCTAGGACTGGCAAGAAAACAAACAAGAACAACAAAAAACACAAACTTGTATATGATATTCATAGCAGTGTTATTCACCATAGACAAGAGCTAGAAACAACTCAAGTGTTTATCAGTGGATACATGAGTAAAAGAAAGTGGTAGGTCCATGCAATAGAATACCATTCAGCCTCTAGGGGCTGAGAAGGTGGCTCAGTGGTAAAGTGCTTGCCTTGCATGCCTGAGGCCCTGGGTTCGATTCCTCAGCACCACATAAGCAAAAAGAAAAAAAAAAAAGAATACCATTCAGCCTCTAAAACGGTTGAAATTCAGATATATATAGCAAATTGGATGAAGTTTGAAAACATGCAAAGTAAAATAAGCAAGACACAAAAGGATAATATTATATGATTCCATTTATAGGAGGTACTGTTAGAATAGGTAAGTTTCAGAGACAAAAAGTAGACTAGGTTAGCAGTGACTTGGATTGGAGGTGGGGGAATAGAAAGTTATAAATGTAAAGGATAAAGAGTTTCTCTTTGGTAGAGAGTGATGGTAATGGTTGTACAACACTGTGAAGTTCAATACTGCTGAATTATGTACTTAAAATGGTAAAAGTACTTTTTTTTTTTTTAACCAGTCCTGGGGCTTGAACTCAGGGCCTGAGCACTGTCCCTGAGTTTTTTTTGCTCAAGGCTAGCACTCTGCCATTTGAGCTACAGCACCACTTCCAGTTTTTTCTGTTTGTGTGTTATGAAAGAATTGAACTCAGGCCTTCATGCATGTACTCTACCACTAAACCACATTCTCAGCCCCTAAGTTTTATCTTGTATGTATTTTATTTTATTTTATTTTTTTTTGGGTCCGGTCATGGGGCCTGAACTCTGGGCTTGAGCACTGTCCCTAAGCTCTTCAGCTCAAGGCTAGTGCTCTACCACTTGAGCCACAGCGCC